TCTCTCTCTCTCTCTCTCTCTCTCTCTCTCTCTCTCTCTCTCTCTCTCTCTCTCTCTCTCTCTCTCTCTTCTTCTCCTTTCTTTTTCTTCTTCTTCTTCTTCTTCTTCTTCTTCTTCTTCTTCTTCTTCTTCTTCTTCTCGTTTCTTCTTCTTCTTCTTCTTCTTCTTCTTCTTCTTCCTTCTCCTCAGCCGACTGGCTGCCGCAACACACCCTTTTACCCCCTTGTCAAAACCCCCCTCCCCCCTCCTCTCAAACTCCCCTCCCCCCCCTCCCCCCCCAAACACACATGCCTTTCACAAGTTTCTCTGTGGATTCGGGATTCTCTCAGCAAGCGCATTCCAACGCCATCTTCAAAAAAAAAAAAAAAAATCATGGGACGTTTTTTCGCTCGTCTGGTTTTGCCTGACGGACCCCCCCTCCTCCGTCTGGACCGGGCGTCGGCCTAACCCAGGGAAAAACACTGTTCCACAAAGAATAATGTACCACCAAATGCATTTATGGAAGATCATAGATTGACCACACATTTATTTTCTCATGTTTGTAATGGCTCACAGATGGAAAGGTAAATTGCATAAAATCACCACCATCTTTACCTGCCTTCCATCTCAGCTCAAATCTAACTATAGGGAAACCAAGACGAGAAAGCTCGTAAACCGCTCTATCCCTTTTCATCCACTTTGTATGCAGTGGCAACCTGACCTGAATAGCAGAAAACTGTGCTGAAACAGAGATTTCACATATGCTTCCATTGCTCCTACCTGCAACGACAAGAAAAAACTGCAAGGAATATAAGCGAGAGCGATATACAGAAAACCAAGTTGCAAAATCACGCAGAAGTCCAGATAGTCATGCAACAAGCAGAGAGCTCAAATGCACCAAGATTCCATCCAAATAAGAGCAATACAATGAACTCAGGAGCCAATGTTCAAGCCCTCAGGCCACACCAACGCAGTATTCAATGGCACTCCTCTTGTCCGGCGCCCAGCCCCCAGCCTACCCTACTCGTCCTACATAGCCTATCTACATTCAGGCAATAGGCTCACTTCGACTTTGAAGACCAATGTACATGACATCAACACCAATGCCAACCTCCCACATACACCAAGCACGTACTCTTGACTCCCCTCATCACCCTTGTCAACCCACACCTGCGCCGCCTCCTGAAGACCACCATCGCCGTCACCTGCCCTCGCGCCCTGCAGCCCGGCTATGGCCGCTACCGCCGCGCTGCTCTGCAGCACCCCTCACCACTCAGCGCCTGCATGCGCCTCAGCCAGCATCAGCGCAAGCAGACACTTGCGCGCTATCGCAGAAGCCTAGGCCAGAATGCCTTCATCTGCCTGGCCTCCTCCCTATATGCGAGAGGTTGCTGCTGCTGGACTGCCTGGGCCTGGCCGTGGAAGTTTCCAGTAGCTTCTGGTCCGGCCCCAGTGTCTGTGCCCAGGCCCATGTCTACAGTTGAGGGCCTGAGCCCTTTGCAGTTGGCCACACCCAGATTATCCAGTCTCTGAATGTTTGCTGTGTTTGCATTGGCCCTTGCTGTGTTTGCATTGGCCCGCGGCTGGATGTGACGACAATGCTGCGTTCTCATTGGGCCTTGGACACTTTGTGATGTGTCAGCCTCACGCTGCGTGTGCCCAGGGCGCAACTACCTGTGTCCTGGACTCAACTGCCTACCGCAGCTGCTTCTTCCGGAAGAGCCCAGGGTGAGGCGCAGGTTGCACTTCAACCAACTGGCGTGCAGCAATTGTCTGAGACCCACATTGGAAAATGCTGAGATAAGGGCCTCTCGTGGATATTCAGGCCCGCCTTCACTTAGGGCGGGCACGAGGCTTGCTGGGGCCCCATATGCATGTTGTCTAAGCTCCCCCCCCCCGCTTAGGGCACATTCCTCACATTCCATCCCCCTTAGCTTCAAAAGTCCACTGAGATGCTTCTTACGCAGGAGCCTTCCCCTTTAACCTTCTCTCATAGTCTGCCACAATCTGAGGTGCTGTTTCAATTAGTTCCTCTCTGGTGAACCATCCGTCTTCTTTTGGATCCGTGTGATGCCTGAATCTGACCCAGTATTCCCGCTTGGGTTTCGGACATCTTCCTCTGCCCACAGATTGAAGAGACCATGCCGGAAACAGCAAAGACGGAGTACGTGATTAGAATGTTTAAAGAGAACTGGGTCAGGGACTTTGGTCTACCGAAGTCCATTGTTAGTGACAGAGATGTCAGGTTTACCAGCGAGTTGTGGAAGGCCGCTGCTGCAGAGCAGGGCACTCAGTTGCAAATGACTTATGGGAATCACCCAGAGGCCAACGGCCAGGCTGAGCAACTGAACGGCGCTGTACAACACCTGTTGAGGCATTACATCAAGCCCAACCAGGTGGACTGGGATGAGAAGCTTGCTCTCATCGCCAGTCTGTATAACAACGTGGTACACAGCGCCACTGGGGTGAGCCCGAACAGTCTACTACTGACTTTCAAGCCTAGACTACCTCTTGACTTTCTCCTACCTGAGAATGAATCAACTGCTGCACCGGGTACGTTAGAGTTTGCCTACAGATATCAACAGAAAATGCAGCAGGCGGTAGAACAGATGCAGAAGGCACAGGCAGCGATGATAGAGTCCGAAAACAGACACTGCCGGTCTTCTACATTTCAGGTTGGGGATAGAGTCTAGGTTAAGTCTTCAGAACTGGGACAGGAGTACGGGATATCCCGCAAACTCATGCCTCAGTACTTTGGACCTTGGGAAGTCTTGGACATCGTCGGGACAGATCCGGATGGGCCATCATATGTTATCCGGATTCCTGGTCATCTTCGTACTTACCCTGTCTTTCACGCCTCTGAGCTGGCACCTTTCAAAGAAACTGACCAGTTCCCATCTCGTGGCTCAATGCTGCCCCCAACCATGGACGGAGAGATGGACATTAATGATATTGTGGATCACAGAGAGCTGCCGGTATCAAGACCAGCAGGCAGGGGACGTCCTCCAAAACCGAAGCTGCAGTACCGCGTTCGGTTCCGACATCACACTGATCCAAAGGAGGACCGCTGGTTCACCAGGGAAGAACTCATGCAGACCGCTCCTCAAGTTGTGACTCAATATAAGAGATCTCTGCAGAAGGGAAAGCGCCCTATGATCGAAGATTGAGCTTCTCAGAGGACTGTTGAAGCTAAGGAGGAGGGAATGCGAGGCAACTGCCTCTAAGAGCCCCATATGGCCCCCATTTTTGCAGCCCGTCGGCTGCCCTAAGTGAAGGCAGGCTCGACGAGGCCTCAGGGCCCTTTTTCTGGACACCACGCAACTCAGGGAAATTCAGGCAGTTGCGCAGCGCCAGTTGGTTGAGTGAACCCAAACCCTGGGCCGCCTGTGTGAATGTACGTGAAGCAGGCCCTGGGCTGGATACGGGTACCGGGCCAAACACAGGCCGAAAGCAGTTGGGCACATGCAACCACTTCAGGCCCAAGGCCTGCTCTCCTCGTGACTGGGCCTCAGGCTACCGGGGCCTACTGGAAGCTTCCTGGACTGGACGCAGGCAGGCCACTTCGATATAGGGAAGGGCCTGCCTCCTCATTCGGCATTCGGGTGCTGGCTGCATGCTGCGCTATTTGCTGGCTGGCGCCTACGCTCTCACGGGCGAGCAGGGAAGGAGCACGCAGCCATAGCCGAGCTGCGCTGCTGTATGCTGGGTGAAGCGCAGGGTGGTCCTTGGGTGCTAGTGGCATCTGTGAGTTGGGGAACGAGGTTGTGAGTGTAGCGCGAGACATACCTGGTGCTCAAGCTTGCGGCATTGGTCTCCATATGCTCGTACTTCGGGAATGCTGTTGATGTCATCTTTCGGCTTCGTAGTATAGGCTAGATAGGATCTGCCACATGTAGTCTGGGCGCCGAGCGCCAGATAGGATATCAACTCTGGTTCTTCGTTGATGATGATTGGACTATTTCAGCATAATCAATTATGAACTCTTGCTGTGTTCTTATTTGGTGATTCTCGTGATGCAATGCTGCTGTTGGTTCGAGGTCAAGACTATCTGGACTCATATGTATGATGCTGTTTGATTGCTGGAGTTCGCTATTGCTCATCTTCCTTGCACTAGCCCCCAAGTAACAGCAGATCAAAATTGTATCTGCGCTACTGAGGCACCACTCAAGTCTAGCTATCTTCAGCAACGCTCTGGAATGTAGATGACCGCAAGAAGAGCCAGCACGGCTCCACCTGCATGAGAAAAGCACTACCGGAGATGATCCAATTATTGGGAGGGAGGAGAACTGAGACTGGGGAATCAAAAAATTGATGAGCGAATCTCAAAGTAAAATTCGCTGTGTTTCAGAGTGAATGCATTACTGAGAGGCACTTGACTTGTACTGTACTGCAGAAGGTGAATAAGCAGTGAAATACAAAAAGTAAAGGTAAGGAAAAACATATGATGACATGAAAGAGGTCAAAGAAATGGAGTGTATGTCATGTGGAAACACAAGTGCTCACCTGGTCCACGATTGCTGTTCTATTTGGTACTGAGGCACTGAGAGCAAACGGCAATGAGGCACTGCATTTCCTTTTCGCTTTCTTAAATCACCACCACCTCCAAGACTCCCTTTCACGACCAAGACTGCTACCACGAGTCGAAGCAAAACGAATGGGAGCAAATGGGCACGGGCAAAATTTTGGGTGCTAGCACCAGCCATCTGAAACGGTATTCACCAATTCGTGGTAGCTGAGGCAGATCCCAGGACTTGATCCCTAGTTCCCCAACTTACCTGTGTATAATATCTACGTCAACTCGAAGAGTTGAMCCTGCGACCTGTAGAACCGCCAGTGGTAGGTAGATTGTCGWAGGGYAYAGGATAGACTGGAATCGAACTGTAGACCTGTAGGGTAGAAGTCTAGGCAGCTCCGGAGTTGTAGCTGAAGACTGCCTGAAGAGTCAAGGTCGTAGCTGCTACTTACCTGAAAGGGCAAAGTCGTAGCTGCTACAGTACCGAAAGGCCAACTTAG